TATTTGCTGCTCTGGTCTTGGCCTGGCCCTGGGTTCTAATTTTGATCCAGACACTATCTCTGAATCAGCCTGTAAGATAGACTTGGGGCTTTGCACTAACCTAAAAGTCTGGCCTAGGTCTTCCAAAGTTCCCAGATAAACTAGGGGCAACAGGACCTCTAGAGAGTCCTGGGTAAGATCTGTTTAGTTTCCAATTTGGAAAATATTTTTTTCTTGTCATTTTAGACTTTCTCCCCAGGGCACTTCAGAATTCGCAGTTCAGGGCAGTTTTCACTAAGACATTGGTCTCATCACTTTTATTTATTTTTATTTTTTTTAGTTTGATATCGTTAATGTATAATTACTTGAACAACATTAAGGTTACTAGACTCCCCCTATTATCAAGTCCCCCCACACAACCCATTACAGTCACTGTCCATCAGCATAGTAAGATGCTATAGAATCATTACTTGTCTTCTCTGTATATACTGCCTTTCCCATGTCCCCCCGCCACTACATTGTGTGTGCTAATCGTGATGCCCCTTTTCCCCCCTTATCCCTTCCTTCCCACCCATCCTCCCCAGTCCCTTTCCCTTGGTAGCTGTTAGTCCATTCTTGGGTTCTGTGAGTTGGTCTCATCACTTCTGATAATTTTCACAAATCATTTAACATCACAAATACCACTAATTGCCACTTCCCTGGTATTGTTTTGTTCTGATGTCTTACATTTGGAAACTGGTAATTGAACTATAAGTTTCTTTAGAGTGAGGACTGGCTGTTTTTAAGTTGTATTCCTATTGTCCACCACCATGTCTGGAGTATAACTTCTCAATAAATGTCTATGTCTAGAAAATATGCCTGAATAAATGGTTCTAAAACATATCCCAGAGTCACTATACTTATCTTTTTATTTTTTCCTATCCTTTATTAGCTTTCTGTTTACCTCTCTTAGGCCAAAAATTTCAGTGACCTCTCGCATCAAGTGGTCATACTGCTTTCCCTTAACTCTTCCTTTCTACTGCTTACCTGAATTTTGTCCACTTAAAAACAATAGTGCTTTGTTTTTTCTCTTGGGCGTTGTCCTTCATATCTTTGGTGATTTTAAACATTGTTCATATTTCTATCTGATTCTTCTATTATCTCAAGTTCTTTTTGGTAGGTGTGCCTGCTGACCCTCACTTATGGCTAATAGCTTCCACGTGGGTCTTGTGGCTTAGGCTTGTGAGCTCATCTTTAGTGGAGGTTTAATTGATGGGTGTTGCTTTGATTGAGGACACCTCTCTCCAGATAGGTTTTTTTTCCTTCTACTTAGCACCCTAGGGGTATCCCTGGCCTAGAGGCAATTTTTAAGCCTGTTTTTCAGCTTGAAAGTTCCTGGACTATACAGTTATTGTGAATGTAAAACCCCAAGCCACGTGAGGGAAGATTTGGGGGATGCAGATGCCCAGTGGAGACACTTTTATTCCCCCACCACTAGCCAAGGCATTGCTTTTCCAGCTGCTTGTGGGAACGTTTGGCTTTTTTTCAAGCCCACCACTTCAAGAATCTTTCTTCAAGACCACTTTCAGAGTCTCTGTCCTTGAGGGTGTCTGTTCCTAGTTCTCAGTTCTCTGCCTTATCTTCTGTCCTTGAGCAACTGTTAAATCCCAAGCCCCTGGTCTACTGACTTCTTCTTGAAGTTTAAGACCATGTGCTTGGAGCTCTGGCTCTCAGTTTACTGTTCATTTCTGACCCCAGACTGTTTAATTTCTTACAAACTCATTTAAAAGGATATTTACTATATGTTTGTCACATTTTTTCCAGAATTTCTTGGGGATTATAATGGAAAGGTTTTTAGACTACCAAGGCAACTTCTGTTCTTGCTTCCATTTTGATAAAGAAGAGAAGTTTTTGGTTGGGAGCCAGAACACCTAATTCTTTGACTTCAATTTGCTGTTTTGGACAAAAGGCATATAACCTATCCAATGGCCTGGATTCCCTCTTTTAAATGGTGATAATAAGGCTTAACAACACAGGTCTGAAAGTTGTGTCTCCCCTGATAGGGATGTTATGAGATTCAAGTAGTAGAATATTTGAAAAAGCATTTTGAAAAAAACAAAAAACGAAAAGCACTCCATAATTATCAGATAGGTTTTGTTTCTCCTTCTAGATACATAAGGGTATCATTGCCTAGAACCTATTTTTACTAATATTATTGCTCATATACTCTTTCCCCCAGAGCCTTCCCCTTCCTTCTTCTACCATTAAATCTCCTACCCCATTTATCTTGCTTATGGCAAAGTAGAGTAGCTCTATATTTAGGCAGAGGATGAACTGCAACCTCTTGGCTGACTGCACCTGACCTGGTATGGTGCTGACTGCACCTGACCGGGTATGGTGATTCCTTTTGCTCTGTTACTCACCCCTCGGCTCCCAATACTGTATATCACTCAAGCTCCTGGTTAGAGGCCAGCTGTTAGCAATCCCTTTTCAATAGTGGAAATGCACAATGATTTTAATTAGGTCTTAATAGCACACGAATTTGTTTATATGGTTGTTCTGCTTTGGAGAACTAAAGCTGCCTGAATACAGTTCTCTGCAGTTCCTGTCTATGGCATGTCACTGAAGGAGACTATCAACTGGTACAGTTGTTTGGAACTTATAGGAAACCTTTAAATGCATACTAACAGGAAGACTGGAATTTACAATCATGAATTTTTACAATATGATCTCACATAACACACCCATTTTATATTACAAAAACTAAGTTTGAACAAGCATGTCATAAAAGGGACCACAGAATCAGTAAAGCCAGTCCTATAATGACAGGCCAAGCAGATTTAGATTTTGGGGTTTTCTTGGCTTTTTATTTGAGGCCAAGTTCTCAAACAGAGCATTGACTTTGCTCCAGGTCAAATGAGTCATAATTTGGGTTGGGTTAGTCCTTGTTTAAATCCTCTTAGGTAAGGTTTAATTTGTTGAACCGAACCCTGGAACCAGTTCTTTTCACAGAAGAACATATAATTATATAACCTTTATCACAAGACACAGGAGTTTTTCAGATATAGTGGGGATTCAAAGGGAATATGAAGCTAAAGTGGAAAGTGTTTGCAGAGATACCAGTAGAAGAAATAGAAATAGAAGGCATTTGTGAAAACCTGGTCTCAGTTATTTACATAGTTCATTGTACAAATTAATACATTTGATTCTTCTATAAGAAAACATGTTTGTGAGTACTGAATCTTTATTTTCACAGAAAGGGTGATACAACTATAAGTGAGTTAACTATGATTATAAATCTTAACAGAATTTTCCAAGGCATACCATTATTTTATATGCAAAAATTAGGTGACTGCCCTATTTCTACTTACCTGTAGTAATTACAGTGCACAGAAAACAAACTTCCAACAAATTCAGGTCCACTTAAAAGCTAGTCCATCCCTTCATAAAACATTTACAGACTTCCTAACCAATAGATGGGTTTGAAGATCAGTTTGTGTCATGTGCTCTGCCTGCCATCCATTTTAGCTATCAGTGAGTCACAAAATACCGACAAGCCATAGTCTAAAAGAGACTGCGGAAGAGCAGAGGGCCTGAACTGTCAGGAACCAGAATACCCTTGGGCCAATCAGGGGTTGTTAGATGGATTGTATAATCAAGTGATAACAGGCATGGTGATTCAAATCAGCAGCAAATCCAGAAATCTCGAACTAGAAAGCATGCTAGTTTTAGGAGAAACCTCCAGGGCAGCACTGCAAGCTTTACTGTTGTTAGGGAGCTGCTGATGTACTTTTTTGGAAGCTGCAGTGCACATGGACCAGTTCAGTTTGGGCAACTTAATGCTGATCGCTGTGTGTGCTGCCACTCAGGGGATGAAGCGGGAGTAAGACCTGTTCTTTACCCTCCGTAGGTTCTCCGTCTCGGAAGGACACTATTGCACAAGTATCCATGCTGACGATGTGCAGGGGGCACTTGGTGGGCATGGGCCTGGCCTCAGGCCTGCCTAGGGCTTTGTTTACTTATATTATCTTGAATTCTCTTATCAGTTCCCTAAGGTGGATATTATTATCTCCAGTTTACAGATGGGGAGGCAGTATTTTTCCCCCTGCATGTTATCATGCTGCCTCTCAGCACAATGTGTTAAATCCCTTGCCAAGGATTTAGACTGGAGTCTGACAGGTGAAGGTCCAGTTGTGGCTCTGCTGTAGACCTGAAGTGTTGAGGAAATTTCTTCATTTATTTGAGCCACAGTGTTTTATTTATGAAACAGAGATGCTAATATCAGCCTCAGCTCTCAGCAAGGCCTTACTCGACCACTCTAAGGACTCTCTTCCCCATCTCCCTGGTTTTGCTCCCATTACCCTGTTCTAGTTTTGTCATTGCCTCTATCACCATCTGAAATGATCTCAGATGCCACTGGTGCACGTGACTATTGTCGGGCTTCCCCCACCCCCCCACTTGAATGTAAGTTTCATAAGGACAAGGACTGAGCCTGTCACAGTCCCCCTTCTGTCACCAGAATGTGTTTCCTGGCATATAATGGGCATCCAGTAAGCGAATGGGCAGCTGTCTAGGCAACAGTTAATAGGGATAGAAAGGAGACAATTACTGTACTTATATTTAACATCCTTGTGATACATTCCACTATGTTCCCTTAGAAAGAAAATAAATCATTGAAAGCTTTGAACTATGCTATTAAGGTAGGTAGAAAGGTTTGATTTTTTTTAACCATACCAAAGGTTTGTAATTATATTGAATTTCATCATCCAGTGCATGGTGGTCCATCATTGACCTGATCTGGGCTTCACTAAAAGGAGTAGAACAGCACATACGACATACAGACACAGAAAATGGAATGTATTATACAAGTGGCTTTGGGAGATGCTGAGAGAAATGAATACTCCAGAACTCCTGAGTTGGTGTTCGGCCTTCACTGTCTCCCATGAGCATTAGCCTCGGAGTGAGTGGCATGTCTTACTAGGTCTACAGTAGGCATCTCATGCCACCCCCTGACTCACTGTTTATCTTTGCCGTTGTTTCAGGATTCCGAGAAGCGAACCCCGCTTCATGTGGCTGCGTTCCTGGGAGATGCAGAGATCATTGAACTCCTGATTCTGTCAGGTAAATACCAGCTGGATGTAATGTCAACTACAGATAAAAATTGAAATGATCAGCTCACTAGATTGCCTACCACAGTGAACCCGAATAAAATTAATGTTTGTGCTCATGAAAGTTTATATGTTCAGTGATCTTACCAGTAGATAAAAGACAATGCTAGAAGTTATTCTTATTGAAAAATGACTTCTCCGTTAAAACTTTTCTCTTGCTTTGAAGGTAGTATTCCTGATTGTTTAACCAGGCTCAGTACTGTAGATGAATTCTCTTTTAATTTTTTTCATTGGAAAAGAAAAACCCAAACAAGAAAACTGGCTTTTTGAAGTCTACAAATGTGTGTCTGTATTTACATATATTTAAATTGTGCTGCAAAACAATACTACATTTTGTTTATGTACACATGACTATGACTGTAATAAAAGCATACAAAACATGGAAGGGAAGGAAACATCAATTTCTAGATGGTGGTTACCTCTATTATTTTCTAGATAGAGGAGGCAGGTTGAGTGACAGATGTTTTCATGGAAGGGTATAAAAGAGAGTAAAACTCTATAAATTATTTTATTTTTTAAAAATTGGGAGCAAAAGGGCAAACACATGTTAAATCTGGCCTTTGTGTACACTGGTCTTTGTGATATTATTCTCTTTACTTTTCAATGGATTTAAAAATGCCAGTGCTTTCATTTTTGGAAACATGTATGCTGGGTACATCTCACCAAACAAGTTTCAAAAACCTGTATGTGCTTTCTCCCTTGGTGTCTGCTAGGCAAATCCCCAGAATGAATCGGAGCGCGTGTGTGTGTGTTGGCACGGATTGTATGCAGACCAGCTGGATTTCTTCCTCCTCCTCTGTATTTGGGGAGATTAAAGTTAGTTGGAAATGCCTCTGCCCACAAACTCTGCCAAAGGCCTATAGTAAGGCTTTGCAGTAGTAAAGGGAAACTAGAATTCCAAAGAAAGCTATGCAAAGACAGGGGCTGGTACATTCTGCCTTACACACGTGTGCGCTGAGCCCCTGGCAGTTGGGAGGAGCTTAGGTTATGTTTCGTGTGGTGTTCCTTATGCTCTCCAGAACAGGCCTTCCTTCTGATGATTCGAAAGACATTCCAGGGCTGTGTTCCAAACAAACATGTATTGTTTGGTGCTGGCACAGACTGCAGCTGTGAGCCAGGGCACACCTGGGTGGTGGCCCCAGGAGTAAAAATTTGACCCATGGAAAATTGTAGGCAGAAACACTGGGGGTGCAAAATAAAGAATTTTGTGGTATGGCACCTGATGGTCCCAACAGCTATACCCACCATCCAAATGTTGTATTAACTGACTGCTCAGAATCTCAGAGAAATGTTTGGTTCATGAATATGCAAATTCAAAACTTTGTCTTAGACGCCCCCCATGCTTGGACATTTGTTTGTTTTCCACATATTAAAGCAAAGATTTTAATTCTGCAGTGTGAAGTTGACCCACCTGTTTTCCTCAGGCATCTGGGGACTGATGATTACTTAAGAAAGTCAGTCTTGGTTTCACATCACCTTCGTGTGGGTGTGGAGCCTTTCTTACTTGGGGGCCATTCAGTAGAGCCTGGAGAAACTGTTCCATAGATCTTGATCTGTACACCAGTTTGGTTTTGCAATTACTGAGCTGTTAACCTCTCTCGTATAATTTTGGATGGCACATGCTGTGGAATTTCTCTTCCTCCCCTATAAAATTAGGAAGACAGGGCATGGGAGAGCACTGGGAAACTTCTCCAGAAATTTTACTGAACTGTGGAAGCTTAGACAGACTCTTGGAAACTCTTGGAATTCACATGGCTCTAATTTCATCAAAAGGTCCTTTATCCAATTTGTGTATTATATTCCTAAAGAAATATCGCAAGAGCATGATGATTTAATCTCTGAGTTTACATCTGGCAGCTGACCCTTTAGAGAATCCAACCAAACTGTTTTCCAGTTTAATAATGAATGAGGTGCTGCTAATGATCCCCATGTTGGGCAAATAATTTGGCCTTGCCAGAATAGTCCATTGCAGCTGTGTTCTCCTTTGCTGTATTAACTTTCAGAGCATAGTGTAACCTGAGCCTGCTAAATTCCTACTGCCATTATCTCTTGTTAGTCAGGGAGATGGAACCTTGCATGCTACTGAGCAGACAGGGAAGAATTCAGGCCTTGCAAATTTCCCCTTATAGCCAACCACCAGTCCAAATTCTGGCTTTATTTTCACTCCACCACCACATCTCTAGCTTCTGTTTGGGAACTAGCTTAGGCAGGATTAAGGCAGAGAGAAGGTCAGGGGCTTGCAAAATCAGTTGCCTGGAGATATATGAATGAGATCAATGTGAACCAATCAGTGCATAAGAGTTAAGAGACTATGTTTGGAGTATAGGAAGCAGAGCACACAGAGAAATGACCTACAGTGACAAAACCCTGTAGAAAAACTCTGGGGATGCACAAAGGTTAGTCTCGGGATGCAGGAAGAAAACTGGAAGTACCTACCCTCTACCATGGGACTGCTTGTGAGGTGTAACTACTAGTTAAAAACAATAAAATCATTAGACTATGTGCCACCAACAAGTGGTATTCCTGTAAAATTATTTCTTGTCAGTTTTCAAACTGTGATTACTACTCCCAGTGAAAATTGATTCTAGAGCTGGTGGCAGGTCATTCTTTCGACTCTATCATGCATAACAAATATTCATCCTTTGAGGTTGGTTTTGATTTTTTTGGGGGGGGTCTGGAGAAACAGATGAATAAATCAGGCAATGTTGATTTTGGCCCCAGTTTGGTGCGATGATAGTCATGAACCGTTTTCTGGTGGGTGGGTAAACTGGCTCTAAAGACAAGTCCAATTGAAAAACGTTTTGAGAAATTGCCACATGCACTGAATTGTCATACATTCTTTCAAGGCCATTGCTTTGAAGGACAGGGCTCCTGGGCTGTAATAAGATTTTGTCTGTTTCTTAAAAAAAAAAATCGTTAGCAAGCAGTCTCATTAATTATAATCATATTTCATATGATCTTCCTTTAGTATTTCTATAATTAAAAGCCAAACTTTGGAAAAATCAACCTTAAGAGTCAATTATTCTCTCTGGCTTGTAGGATTTTTTCAACCACTTAGTCTACCAAAATTTTCCTTCATTCTGCTTCTTCCTAGATGGCAAGGCTAAAGGAACAGAAACATTGCCTCTGGAAAAAATCCTTGGGTACTTTAAAAATACTTTACTCTTGATCTCTGTGAAAATCAAGTGGTAATAAGGATAAGATGAAAAATGTATTTAATTTGTCATTGGGGTTCATGCCTGTCGACTTTCAGTTGGGTCTTTGTTTCTGAAGAGTCAGTATAGCCACACATTTTTTTTTGTTTTAATGTTGAAGCTTTAAAATGTCCTTGGGTGAAAAGCATTTGCCTTTAAATCATTAGACATGCAGACTCTGTGTCCTTCAGTGCACAAAGGCGCTTGACGCTTCCTTGAGAAAAATCAGTGATAAACATTCAACTCAAAACCATCTGACGTCCCCTTCTGACATGTAAACAAGACCCTTGGATGTGTTTGGAGGAAGAGGATGAGGAAGCCAATGGCAGGGTGACATTGATGAACTGCTGCGTGGTCCCTGCTCAGATAACTCTGCTTCTGTCCTAGTCATCCTGGGGGGACGCTGTTTTCCTGGCAGCCGCCTGTTCAGACCTCCAGAGGAGGATGAGTTGGGGGGATAGAGAACTTAAACAGTGACTGTAAGAAGCCACTTCCTAGATTTCTAATTACCTTGCAATTCCTTAAGTGACCCGAAGCTGCATGGAAACAACACGTTGTTTGTCACACGCTGGGTGGGTGTTGCTTGATGATGCCCAGCAAGCTCACAGTCGTTTTTCTTCTTGAAAAAATTTTAATATTAAAAGTCATATTTACATCTATGTAAAACTGGAAGTTTTAAAATATATAAATAATAGTAATAGCAATACAGTATCCATGTATAAATATAAATCATAAGCCAAAACAATAATAGAAAAATAGGGGAAATAGGCAAAGAATAGGAACCAGCAGATCTCGGAGAACGAATTGCAAATGGCCAGTAAACAAAGGTATTAGGACCGATGTCCATTCTCAGTATTAAACAGGAAAACACAAAATGTGAGACCATTTTCTTCCGGTCAAATTCACAGTATTTAAATGACTGATAATATGAAGTATTGATGAGGATGTGGGGAAGCATAGCAGTCTTCTACACTGTGAGTATATAATTTGGCAGTGCTTGGAGGGTTGAGACTATCTACTAAAACCCAAAGTGTACATGACTAATGATAACAGAAAGTCCACTTCTAATTATCTATCCTAGACAAATCCTTGTGCATTTGCATAAGGAGTCATTTTATAGATGTTTAGAGAAATATGGGAAACAACTGAAATACCAATGGACAGGATGTATAAAAAATATGGTGTATTTATATGTTGGAATGCATGTGGCAATTAGTAATAATGGGTTCATACACTAAGTATCAACATAGATATGAAAAATATGTTGAGTGAGATAAGGAAATTCAGATTGTTACAATATGGGGCATTATCTGTAAAAGCATACTTATGGTAATTGCTATTGACTTTTAAAAATTGTGTAATATTTAAAATACACTAAATGAATATTATACTGACCACTCAGCTTAATTCTCTTGAAAATTTTCTAAGAGTCCACGTATTTGCATATGAAGGTGTAAAAGAAACTGGAAGGTGACCATCAGACCCAAAGCAGTGGTTTTCTTCAGGGAGTTGGGGGGAGAGTCCAGCACTGGGGATACTCCAGGGGACTTTGCCTAAATCTGTAATGATCCTTGTTTTTAAGGAAGGAATGCACTCAAGTATTACTCATTTGATCAAATCCTAAAGCAAAATAAATCTGCTGTCATTCATTGTGACAGGTTAGTTTTCATAGCTCCAGTTCAATCTAGCTCAGTTGAGGAGACATTGCTGAATCTCTCTTTTAACCAGAAAGCATCCTTCTATTAGCAGCTATGAATTT